GTATATTTATGCACGCAAATATAGGAGGAGAAGGATGTGGTTTTCTCCTGCCAGAGAGAGTGACAGTCTCGGAAACGCACAGGAGCAGCTCTCTTCTGTCCGAGAGGGTCACCGTGACTCAGTGGGAGTGAGTTTAGTTTTTACGTTATGTTTGGGCTCATTGTTGGAGCCATTGTGTCAGTTCATCTCCTCAAGGGCCTTCTTCTTCGGGGCTGGCCCTTTGCTTGTTACCTGGCATGATGTCCTTTTTCAGGCACTGGTCCCTTCTGAGACATATCGAAAGTAAGACGGTTCACCATTCTCGCTTCTAAGGAGCAGTCTGCCTACTTCTTTCCACACATTTGTTAGTTCTTCTGGTAGTCCATACTATTTTCAATTATCTTTGCCACCAATATCATAATTCAAGTGTGTACACACACACACACAAACACACACACATGCCCTACCACACATATCCCTGGTGACACCCCAGGTTAAATGTTGGGTGCAAGTTTGATGGTTTGAATTTATTAGTTGCTCCGTGAAAGAAAGACGAGGCAGTCTGCTTCCTTTAGCATTTATAGGAAACACTATTGGGTGGTTCTATTTTGTTGAAAGGGTTGCTATGCGATAGAATTGACCCAACACACACACATACAAACACACACACATATACACATTCTAAAGCTGAAAACTATAGAAGGCAGAAACCTGTCAATAAAAAACCCTCAAAATAGTTTGCACTAAAATAAGTGATAGGAAACTGCTTAGACTGCACCTGTCAAACAAAGGTGGAAAATTTGCCAGATCCAGAAGAACAAGGCAGTCCTATTGAGCTCGGCCTCACTGTACACTGATCAGTTAGTTTTATTAGTATAGACTCATGAATGGCTATTTGTTTTTTCTATGAGTTATATCCAGATGGTATCTGAGGTAATTAGTTTACTATGCCAACCTGGCTGATAAACACATGTGGGGTTAATTGAAAGGCTGAGGGATAAATGGCTCGGTAAGCCTCGCCTTTCTAGTTCTTTCTAGCTTGTGCTTTGTGATGCTTGGACCAGGGTGCAGCTGCCTTAGCCAGTTCCCTGCTTCAGCTGGCAAGGCTCACTTCCTGTAGTGATTCCCCAAGGAAAAGCCACATGGACCTACCCTGATGCATCCCTGGGTGTTGGAGCAGCCGTGTGGAGACCCCTGCCAGTGCTGAGATGCTTACACATTCACTGATTCAGTTTCCTCCTGCAGTCGACATCATAGTGTGTGTTTTGTGAGAGGGATGAGGACTTTGTGGATTGGTGTTGGACATATGGATTAATGGATTAATGTTGGACTTGTGGGCTTGGGCAGCACTGGGTTGGGATGGTTTCTTGATGTGCACATACCCTTTATATAGAACTCTCTCTTACACATAAGAGTTTCTGTGGATTTGTTTCTCTAATGTACCCAGACTAACACATTATGGTACCTTGGGAGTGGGGTACTGGAGAAACAAATCATAAGATGGAGAGTAGATGTTTGTTTGACCTCTCCCTCATGGTTGCTTTTCTTCTTTGTCTAGCCAGAGGTCAGATAAACCCACACTGCTTACTCGGTTGTTTCTGGGAAAAATATGGGAAGTACGAAAATAGAAAGTTTGTAAGCCCACTTGCTTTCAGCCATTACAATTTGATCTTTAGATGAGTTTAGGCCATGCCTGTAAAGAAAGCTTTGAAAAGATGTGCCCCACCCAGTGCTTTGGAGTACTCAGGAACAATGGTCTTTGTCAGAAGCTGGAAAAAATCTGGAACCATGAAGAAAACTCCTCTCTGGGACTGAATGTTAAAGGGAGCCTGAGAGCAGGCTAAAATGCTTACTAGGTGACCACCTGGAACTACTTGTTGAGTGTAAGTGGGAGAAATGCAGCAATAAAGAGACGGGTTGAGTTTGGCCACTGACACCTGTGGACTTGGTTTACAGGAAGAAGAAAAAAAAAGACGAGAGGGGGTTGACTGGTCCCAAGTTCATGACCAAGCACGAGGGGCTAGGCTTGTTGAGTATTGGTGAGAGCCTATGGTCTAAAGGCAAGGCGACCAGAGGGCACCCTGTAGAGGCTGAGTGAGGCAGCCCACATTGAGTTGACCAGAACCCAAACAGATGGAGATTTTTGAGCCTGTGAACTGGTGCATATTGTTGCTGAATTTATGGATGTCCTGTCTGGATTTGACTTTGCTTATGGATGCAGACTTCACAAGGTTCCACCTGGAGTGAAGATTCTTCACGCTGAAAAACAATTGTCTCCTCAGAGCATTGGGTTGATGTAAGTGGGCAGTAGATAAATTGTATACCCAAAATTAGGGGGATAAAGGAATGAAGTCGTTGGCTTACAAACTTTCATAGGTGAAGGAACATATTCACAGGATTATAGGATTAAGGTGTAGGTGTTACTTACTTGCAACCGTGAAGCTAAAGAATTATGTACAGGTGCCAGTTGGCAAAGCGTGGGTTGAGGTAGTTAGTTTATTGTGCCAACCTGGCCAATAAACACATGTGGGATTAATTGAAGGGCAGAGGGATAAATGGTTCAGTGAGCTTCACTTTTCTAATTCTCGGGTCTCTAGCTTTGTGATGGTCGGACCAGGGTGCAGCTGCCTTAGCCAGTTCCCTGCTGGCAAGGCTCACTTTCTGCAAGACATCCCTGAGGAGAAGCCAAATGGACCTACCCCGATGCAGCCCCAGATGCTGGAGCAGCTGTGTGGAGACCCCTGCCAGCCCTGAGATACTTACACATTCACTGACTTGGTTTTGCATCTGTATTGTGAGGTGGAGGAGGACTTTGTGGATTGGTGTTGGACATATGGGTTAATGTTGGACTTGTGGGCTTGGGCAGCACTGGGTTGGGATGTTTTCTTGATGTGCACTTAACCTTTATATAAAACTCTCTCTTACACATATGAGTTTCTGTGGATTTGTTTCTTGAAAGTACCCAGACTGACACAACTGAAGGAATCATCTGTCCTGGATTCCCTGTGTTTCCAGTTCCTATCTGTACCAGTGTACATCCTCTGGTTTAGCCAGATTGGTAAGGTAGAACTGGGATCATGATAGTACAGGGGGAGGAAGCATTTATGAACTAGAGGAAAGTTGTGTTTCATCGTTGCTACCCTTCAGTCTGACTGGCTCATCTCCTTCCTGCGACTCTTCTTTAAGGGGGTGTCCAGTTGCCTACAGATGGGCTTTGGTTCCCCAGTCTGCACTCGCTCTTATTCACAATGATTTAATTTTTTTTGTTCTTTGATGCCTGATACCTGATCCCTTCCACACCTCGTGATCACACAGGCTGGTGTGCTTCTTCCATGTGGACTTTGTTGCTTCTGAGACTCCTGTTATTGTTTCTGATGGCTTATCTATCTTGATTTTCATGAACCGGATGATCTTAAATATACAAATGAGCATTAGCAAATCTAGCATGATTAGTGGGGTTTATTCCTTTTTCCTTATTTCTATTTTTCTTTCCCTACAAGTGAAAAATCTGTTCCTCACCATCCACACTATATTTACTCATTAGTTCAAGCCTAAAATAAATATAAACAGTGACTAGACTTTACAAATTAGAAAAACCCTGACTTACTTGGCATGATTCTCATTGTATAAATGAGAAAATTCTAGTACCAACTCTTTGAGTTACGACAAGAAAAGAAAAAACTACTAGAAGAAAATGATAATAAAGATCTGGATTTAACATTGTGTGTGAGGGGGCAGGAAAGGGCAGAAGTGGAATTTCAGTTGACAGAGAGGATGAGATAAGGCATCTCTAAGAAGGGGCATTAGCTTCTTTTTCTCTGTATTGCCACTGAGACCATCTGACTTAAACAACGTCCTCAGTCAATATGGATTGTGTATGTAACATGGCCAAAGGCTAGATCCAGTGTACACACTTCACATGTGGTGTTAACAGAGCCCTGGGGAAGTTGACAACCAAATGTTTCATTACCAAGTCTAATTTCCACAATTATGGACATAGTCAAATCCTCAGAGATGATTAAAGTTTATAGACCTTATTCCATGAAGTAGAAGTAAAGGGAGGATTTTTCTCTTATTTCTCTCATAAATATCACCACCGTCTTGTCTTTTGTGACTGCCAGTCACAGGAACAGAAGCTATTGAAATTGAGAAGAACAGAATATTTTGTCTCCTGGAAATTCAGACACAAACCACTTACATTCAATGTCTGAGCCTGAAACGTGAAAATGACATGTCCATGCTGAAAACCCCATCATCCCACCTTGTCCAAGCTTTCTTTCACCTGCTGGTAGAGATTCCAGATCCCTGTTTTCATGATGCATCAGGATCTTGTTTTTCCTTATGTCTCCCAGTGCTAGGCTGAAGAGGAGCTTATAGGGGTGGAGCTTCCATTTTGATCCTCAAGGTTGCCTGTTAGGAATGTTGGGCTCCCCAGCACTCAGGGATTGGAACATAGTATTTGTTTTTTTCTATAAGACAATGTTACATGCCTTACATTAACATTGCAGGATCTAAGACCTATTAGTAACAAAGTGTTTGTATGTTTTGGTTAAAGGATTCTCTAAACTCTTTTTGTAGCTCTTGGGTGAGTCAAATGGTGAAACCATTTATAGCCTTGGAATTGGGTTTTAACTTGCTCATATATTGTTGATTGTATGGGAAAAGACTTCCAACAACAAACGTATCCATTCAAGTTGGGACTCAACCAATTATGAATTATTATTATTATACTGTTATATTTGTATAAATTCATGATTTGTAATGTGTTAGATGTGATGATGCAAGTTGGCGGCAGTCTACTGAGCGCTAGTGTTTACACCAAAACCAAGCTCACTGCTATAGAGTTGATTCTGACTCATAGCCATTCTACTTCTGAGACAGCCTCATCTTTCTCTCAAGGAGAGGTTGGTGGATTTGAATTACTGACCTTGGATTAGCAGTCCAATGCCCAACCCACAGCATCACCAGGGCAAGACCAAATTAATAATTATATTTAAATTTATTTTTTGTTTGTTTATTGGGGAGGTTTTCCGGGAAACCCCCCCTGAAAATCTGCTAGACAAATTCTAAAAGAGCTGTAACACTTATACTTAAATTTCTGAATCTCGAATCCTTCTTCCAAGAGATTCACCCTTGCTTCGGGTAGAACAAGTCCTCAGAAATGGCAAAGTGGGTCTTTGCCTTGTGCTCTAATGAACTCTGGGAAGCTGGTATTTGCCTCATCTGGGGAAGAAGAACACAGCTAACCCAAGTGATGTGCCACACATCTGTGGTAATCTCACAAATCACCTACATTATTTTCAGAGAGAGGAGGTCTGTTTCAGACTTTTCAGACCTTCATAGCTGCCCTTCTGAACATTTTTTCACCTTCCATTCCCACTTGATATACATAATTTGAACTCATGTCATCTATAATAAAATATCAAGAGCGCTCAAGCTACACTAGTTAAGTATTCAGCAGTTAACCAAAGGGCCAGTAAGTTTGAACCCACCAGTCACCCCAAGGGAAAGAAATGAGGCAGTCTGATGCTGTAAAGATGACAGTCTTGACAACTCTGTCGGGCAATTCTGCTCTGTTATATAGAGTTGTTATGAGTCAAAATCGACCCTTGCAGCAGTGGGGTTATAATCAAATCCGTATTTAAATGGGAGGATGAGTATATAGAGAGAAAGCAGCCAAGACTGTACTCTGGAGACTTTAGTAACAAACTTTTATCCTGATCCAGGAAATTTATGAACATTGAAATGAGAGATGTGGGAAATGTGCTCTTGCCTTGTGTGATTTAAGGAAATGGAAATTGTTTCTGAGTTGTGTGACTGAGAAGGACATCTATAAAATTTCCATCTCGCAAAACACTGAAAGATTTACTGCTTATATAATCACAAGAAAAAAAGATCCTTACCTTCGGAATAAGCCGTAGACTCCTTAAAGAGAGCCTGCCTCCTATTGCTAAAGACATTACATCTTTTCTAAAAATATATTCATTTTCATGGTTGAGATTGTAGTGAACCCTTTCTTTAATATATCAAGGGCACACATATTTCTTAGAAACATTCTTGCTTTTAATCCAGCAAAGTCAAAATGTTACCAAAAGAGTGAATCTGAGACAAAAACATAATGCTATCTTAAAGACTCACAAAGAAGTTTGAGGGTTTGTAAAGAGCAGTTCAAACACATATAGATACAATAATAATAAAGAGTGAACAGAACATTATTCTTCCAATAGATTACATTTTTATGTGTTTTCCCCTCTCAAATCTGTCACAATGAGCAAGTTCCCCTTTAAATTTATGGACTCAGACTGCTTAAATTGTTCCCATAACTCGAATTAACATCAATGGGTCACATGGGGAGAAAAGGAGTCCCGAGAGTCTGCATAAATGACATTCTGAAATGAATCCTATAAATTTTGCTACATTACTAATCTCCTCTTTTTGATCCATTTTAAATTTAAAATGAGAAATTCAACTATGGTGACAACATTTGTAAAGACAGTGTCTCTGTCAAAGGGAAGCAGAAAAACCTGCTGCTGTCAGGTAGACTCCAACTCTTGGTGGCCCACTGTGGGTCAGAGTGGAACGGTGGGTTTTCAATGGCTGAGTTTTCGGAAGCAGATCCCTAGGGCTTTACTCCTAAGTTCCTTTTGGTGGCCTTGAACCTCTGAAATCCCCTTATAGTCAAAGAGTTTAGCTATGTGACCCACCCAGGAACTCCAGGATTCCATTACTGATATAACTACACACTACTGATCAGAAACCTGAAGTGTGGCTAGCAAAATTACATAGGGATTTTACTCATTTTCTTTAAAAAAAAAAAAACATTTTATTAGGGGCTCATACAACTGTTATCGCAACCCATACACACATCAATTGTGTAAAGCGCATTTGTACATCATTCTCAAAACATTTTCTCTCCACTTAACCCCCCGACATTAGGTCCTCATTTTTCCCCTCCCTCCCCCCTTCCCCCCTCCCTCATAAGACCTTGATAGTTTATAAATTGGTATTTTGTCATATCTTGCCCTGTCCGACGTCTCCCTTCACCCACTTTTCGGTTGTCTGTCCCCCAGGGAGGAGGTCACATATAGTTCCTTGTAATCGGTTCCCTCTTTCCTACTCATTTTCTAAAGGAGATTGAATGGCACACATCTTTTGTTTTGAACAAGACTTGACATTTTACAGTGCTGGTTCCTTAAAAGACTTCAGGCTCCTGGATTTGGCTCATTATTTTTCTTTAAACACTGTATTATTTACTTGGCATCTTTAATCTATTAGCATAATAACAGGACACATTGGAACTGTGTTTAGGAAAACTATTGTGAAAAAGGATAGTCAGCGGATAACAGTTTACTCAACTGCTTCAACTTTTTCAGTATTTCTACTTCCATGGTAAGTATAGTTCCTTGAAAGAAGTCCTGGAGTTGTACAGTGGTTAAGTGCTCAGCTGCTAACTGAAAGATAGAGAGGTTAGAACCAACCAGTGGCCATATAGGAGCAAGATGGAACAGACCAGTGGCTGTCTCTTTCCATGAAAATTGCTGTTAGTTGCTAGGTGCCAATGAGTCATTCTGACCCCTTAAGAACTTATGCACAACTGAACAACAGTAATGGGAGTAAGGATTCTATGAGGGTATGGGAAAGTGGGGAGAGGGACAGGGGGAACTAACTGATAGCAATGATAGATGCATAACCTCCCTTGAGGGGGACAAATAACAGAAATGTGGGTGAAGTGATACATCAAGTTATGTAAGATATATATAAGCAAATGTGGTGGAGAAAGCTGATGGTGCCTGACTATCAAAAGATATAGTGTCTGGAGTCTTAAGGTTTCATGAGGGTGGTAGGGTTGGGGAGGGAGGGAACAGGAGCTGATATCAAGGGACTCAAGTAGAAATAAAATGTTTTATAAATGATGATAACAACATCTGTATAAGTTTGCTTGATATAATTGATTTATGGATTGTTACAATATCTCTAAGAGTCCCCAATAAAATATTTTTAAAGAAAAAGTAACATCTAATTGAGCACAGGTAGAGCTTTGTTTAAAATAATTTAACTGAAAATATTCATTTTGCTGAAATTTATTAAAATCTTTAGAAGAATGTGAATAATATATATTTTTGAATATTTCAAGACTCATAACCTCTTTATTGCAAGTTTTTTTTCCTGACTCATTTTTTAAATCGTTTTATTGTGGGCTTTTTAATGAAATACTTTCATTGAGGGCTCTTACATCTCTTATCACAATCCATACATTCCTCCACTGTGTCAAGTACATATGCTGCCATCCTCATTTTCAAAACATTTTCTTTCTACTTGAGTCTTTGATATCAGGTCCTCACTTTCCCTCTTCCTTCCCCCACCCTCCCTCCCTCATGAACCCTTGATAAGTTATAGATTATTATTTTCATATCTTACATCATCCTGTCACCCTTCATCTACTTTTCTGTTGCCAGTCACCCTAGGAGGGGATTATATGTGGATCCTTGTGATTGATCCCCTTTTCTACCCCCGCCTCCCCCTTATCCTCCTGGTATCTCTATTCTCATTGATGGCCCTGAGGGGTTTATCTATCCGGGATTCCCTATGTTGTGGGCTCATATCTGTAGCAGTCTGCATGTTCTGGTCTAATCCAATTTGGAAGATAGAATTGAGGTCATGATAGTGGTGGGGAGAAAGCATTAAAGAACTAGAGGAAAGTTATATGTTTCATTGGTGCTATACTGCATCCTGACTGCCTCATCTCTTCCTTGTTACCCTTCTGTAAGGGGATGTCCAATTGTTTACAGATGGGCTTTGGGTCTCCACCGCACCCCCACCCCCAATTCACATTGAGTATGATTGTTTGTTCTGGGTCTTAGATGCCTGAAACCTGATCCCATCGACACCTCATGATCACACAGGTTGGTGTGCTTATTCCATGTGGGCTTTGTTGCTTCTCAGCTAGATGGCTGCTTTTTTATCTTCAAGTCTTTAAGACCCCTATCTTTTGATAGTCGGGCACCATCAGCTTTCTTCACCACATTTGCTTATACACCCATTTTGTCTTCAGCGATTGTGTCAGGAATATGAGCATCTCAGAATGTGGGGTTATTAGAGCAAAGTGTTCTTATGTTGAGGGAGTACTTGAGTCGAGGCTCAATGTCCATCTGCAACCTTAATTCTTAACATATAGATACAAGTACATAGATCTATTCTCCTCTCGTTATATATTTATTAGGGGCTCTTACAGCTCTCCTAACAACCATATATCAATTGTATCAAGCACTTTTGTACATATGTTGCTGTGTTAGTCTGGGTTGACTAGAGAAACAAATTCATAGACACTCATATGTGTGTAAGACAGAACTTTATATCAAAGAGCAATTGTGCATTAAGATAACATCCCAGCCCAGTCCAGATCAAGTCCATAAGTCTGATTTTACCCCATATGTCGATAGTAGTTCACAAATTCTTCTTTAGACTAGCATAATCAGGAAATGACCCCAAATTCAGGAATATCACAGGTCAGTGTGTGGAATCCAGTGGCAGTGGCAGCATCTCAGGGCTAGCAGGGGTCTCCACATGGCTCCTTCAGCTCCAGGGCTCTAGTGCAGCTCCATGTGTCTTGTCAACAGGAATGCCTCACAGGGAGTGAGTGTGTATCCCGCCTTCAGAGTGCTATTTATCTCCCTAGCACCTCCAAATGAGGTCATCAAGTTGTAACTTGATTGACAGGCTAAACTCCACCCTTTCACTCTTAAGTCTCAGGCTGACAACAGATTATATGGTTATATAACCACCACAGTTGCCATCATCATTTTCAAAACATTTTCTTTCTACTTGAGCCCTTGGTATCAGCTCTTCCTTCCCCCTCCCACCCTCGTGAACCTTTGATAAATTATAAATTATTATTGTTTTCATATCTTATACCATTCACTCTCTCCCTTCACCCATGTTTCTGTTGATCGTTCCCCTGTGTGTATGTGTGTGGGGGGGGCTTATATGTTGATTCTTGCCATTGGTTCCTCATTCTCTCCCTTTCCTCCCACCTTCCCCCTACCCTCATGGTATCACTACTCCCATTACTGTTCCTGGGGGTGCTTA